CTTGCACCATCACCTTGGGTTTAGTGAGAATGGTGCTGCTGGGGCCTGTGCTGTGCCTGGATGTTCAGAGCTGCTGTATCAAACATCTCATGCCTGAAGTCAGGACAGATCTGTATCTATAGGTTGACTTTGTCCTTCCTAGTGGCTCCACTCCCTCAAGTGGTTCTTAACTCTGGTTGTTCAGGACTGTCACTAACATAGTAAGCCCCAGAGCTAGGATCTCTGTGTGCCTTAAAGCCCAGGATCCAATCTTTGTAAACACTGTAAAAGGTACATACTATGTATTCATGTCCTCAGTAACTGCTGGGACCTAGACATTAATTAGTGCAGTCTCAGAAAGAATGCCTGAACCTACCTTCTCTGGAGTCTAGCTCAGCTGAGGGTGAAGTGGTGCTCATTAACTGACATTTCTGGCCACGGGGCCCACATACCCTTTTTTCCTAAGCTGCTACCAGCACTGGGGCTACTGACACAGGTTACTTCTGTTTCTGGCTGCACTGAGCTTCATCTCTTTGCTTCTTGTAACTCAGTCTCAGCCCTTAAGTGAGTCTGAAGTAATGTGTAAGAACAAGCCCTTCCCAAACTTGTCACCTTACTATTCCTCTTTGCCTCCTAGTCCACTTACAGGGAATGGAAAGCAGAGATTTCCTTCTGATGTGTCAATGTCAAACCAAACTCTGTTGCAAGTTTTCATACATATGATAACAGCTGCCCAGATCTTTGCTTCCTTGGTATGTCATTGCTCTGGCATTTGGGAAAAATCATCTTGCTTATTAATGTTGCTTGTTGGCTCAAGAGTGGATGATGGAGTGTAAATGCCATGCCAGAGAACCTCATATTTCTCCATGGATATTTTCATTGTATCATTGTCATCTTGTCCATGTCATGATGTACTCGTGGGAGAGAGCCCAGTAGGAGAAGCTGTGTTACTCTTGGGCTGAAGCTAACTTGGTTTGAGCCTTCCTTTCAGAACCCACTTATCCCAGCTGTGTTCTCACAGCTGTGTTTTCTAGGTGCTTAGGTGAGTCTTGCTCTCACTGAACAATCCCAGTGACAGACGGCCTATCTGGGCACACTGCAGACAGCATGCTCTATGGACTCTGCTGATAGCCTTGAGATGTTACACTGAATAGCTGGGAGGAAAACTGCTGCTGTGGTGAGAGGAGAGAAAATGCTGGGAGGAGCTGGGCAGTTCTGGTTTCTGTAGACATTGGCTGAGGACAGGAGTTAGGGGACAGTGCAGATTCTGCCAGGATGTGCTGTTGCTGGTCTGGGAATGGCATCTTCTATGGAAGGCTTGGAGTCTTTCTCCAAAGGCAGATGTTGACCCACCTTGTCTTTCTGACTTTGCAAAGTGCTTCCTCTGACATTGCTCAAATGTCTACACAAAAGCCAGAGGCAAAACGGTTGAGAAAAGAAAGGTATTTTAATGGGTGGACCATGTAGCTGAGCAATTACAGGATCCGTTCCTTCCTTGCTGTCTCATTCTCTCTGTTTCTGTGACCTTTTCTGTAGTATCTGCTACCAACTGGCACCAAGCACCAAGGCTACTTTCAGACTCACCTCTTTCCTGTACCAGGAGCATCAAGGGAGCTTTTCTCAAGATTCCTAAAGGGATCACTATCTCAACTATTTTCCCCTGCAGGGAGCACATTCTACAGTGAGCTGGGAGCTAGGGGTGGATCATGCCAGGTTGGGACAGACTGGAGCACTGTAAGCACCATGCAGTGGCAGTCTGGCAATGTCAAGGCTGTTCTGCCTTGGATTAGTGTACTGAGAGAGATCAGAATCCTGACGAAGATTTCTCCCTAAGAAATACTGAGGCCTCTATAGACCTGTTTGTTAAAAACAGCGAGCCAGCACGCTTCCTTGCTTACTTGTCACAGGCAAAGGAGAGCTGTTTGTGTCTTCTAGTACCTCCAGGGATTCAGCTCGTGTGAGCACTCTGGGGGCATCTGTCTGCAGATGACAGGCACTGACCGTAACACGTGTTTCACATTTACATGCACAGAGATGTCAGGGACAAGAAAGTTAGAAACTGGGATCTGAGAGATCCTAGTGTACATTTGAAATACATTATGCTGCACAGTGTGTGCATGAGCTGTCTCGAAAGGGGGGACAGCTCTGTGTCTGGCACAGCACTTGTGCTGGCCACCCAGTAACATGCAAACATCTCATCACCTTAACTTCAGCATGTGAGGTGAGATCCAAAGATGCCTAGAAAATACACTCAGCTGCCAGAGCACTGTTAAGATCTAGATTATGAAGGAGGCTGGAGAAAGAATGTGACATGAGCTTGGACTAGATGACCTTTGAAGGTCCTTTCCAACCCAAACTGTTCTGTGATTCTATGCTGTCTCCACTTTACATATTTGAAACAAGTGATTTTGCTGCAGGGTTTTTTGGGGTTTGGTGTTTTGGTTTTGGGTGGTTTTTGTTGTTTTGGTTCATTTTGTTTTTTCCAGAGATGATGAGCTTACCTGGGGAAGGCCTTGGGGATGTAGTTAATATGTGGCAGGGTGGGGGGATACTGCTGTGGGTATGGCAAGAGGTGATACATGCATGTTTTGCATGCACGGAAGCTGTGCCCTGGAATCACTGTGGCCGTGCAGCATGCTCTTTTGTTCCTTGGGCAAAGAGCACATCCTAAACTTCCCTTGTGGCTTGAGAGGAATCCAGCTGAAGTCAGTGGGTTAGGATATATGTGGATCACATAAGAGATGTGACATTTAATGAGCTGTTCATAGAATGTGCTGTTCATGAACCCACACAAACATTCCTCCTAATCATTTTTTCTTTTGTTCTTGCATCTGGAATTTTACAGACTGCAACTCCAGGAGAGGATTCGGGTCCTCCACCATGATGTTTCACACAGTAACTCTTTTCACTGTTATAATCCCTTTTGTCTTTCTCCCTTTTTACTTTGATGGGGGAGGTAGGCATGAGAGACAGCCAAGGGACCCCTTTGGAATGAGGCGTCAGGGGGGTGTTGGAGTTAATGGAGAAAAAGATTATTAAGAAGTGAGCCAGTGAAGCTTCTCCCTTCAGAGATTTCCAGGCCAAATGTTCAGCTGAGAGAATTCTCTGCCTACATCAGAAGGTTCTTGGTTTTAGGTGTCCAAAGGTTGTGTCCAGGTGCTCTCTACTGTTACTGGGGAGAGGCAAATATATACAAAGTGTAATTCATTCCATGCTGCCATGGATGCTTTAGATAAACATGTACGTGCTTGGCTCTCTATTGGTGTTAGAGGGAGCCCACATATTTAGCTTAGATTAAACACCCAGCTAAGAGGCTGGCCTGAGGACAGGTCCAGACTCACTTATTACATGATGTCTGATTCAGGGCTGATATGTGTCAGTCCAGAGAGTAGCATGAGCACAGTGAGCTGAGCCTTGTCTGCTCGAGGAAGAGCAAGCCATTGGGTGGTTGATACTGCTGAAAGGGCCTGGCTCTTTTGTTTGTTAGAGGTCCTTATGCAGCTCTGGTGAGAGGAAAGCATCCTGACAACTGGTCTAAGCTGCCACTGAGGTCTTTGTGGGCTCTCTCAAGTCCCACTTGTTGCTTAAGACCCAGATGGGCACAAAGCTCCCCAGCATCAAGGTCCTGTGATTTGTAACATGTTCTGCTAAGTGGGGCTGTGATATGAAAACAGGATAACTTTGCCTGTGCTTAGCTTTGTATCACTCTTGCATTCAAGGTGGGAGGGTGAGCAGGCCAGACTATCCCTAATAGAAATAGGATAACATTTTGATAGAGAAAAGCAGAGCTAAACACACATGGACATGTGTCTGGAGACAGTTTCCTGGGTAGGGTTTTGGCAGTGAGCTCACAGGGGAGATTGCTGTGGTTGAGAGCTGGTAGTGATTATTTTCTTCTCTAGGTTCTGCCAAGCAGCTGCTACTCTGGGGCCCTGTAGACTTCATAGTCAGTAACCCCCCGTATGTTTTCCATGAAGACATGGCTTCCTTGGACGCGGAAATCCTCCGGTAATCAGACAAAGAGATTCTTCTTCTCCTGTTCCGTGAAGCAAGGTTTTCTGTCTGCTTTCTTACATTACAAACAATTGCACACGAAACATGCAAATGTAGTATACATGTACATAGTGTAGGTGTTTTTCTGTAGTATATAATAATGCAGTGTTACTTTGATAATGCTTACAGGTCAGAAACAACACCAAAGCATTTTAAATACTTAGAAAAATGGAAAAAGCACACACTTGGGAATTAGCAGGCTCCAAATCCCAAACTGGTTCAGGACATTTTTCCTGCTAGGCTTTTTTTTTTTTTTTTTTAATAATTGGTGTGAGTTTATGAAAGAAAGTACAAGTAGTCAGAGCAGCATTTTGTGATGGAAAAAAGCTTGGCTGGAAATGCTGTGACCCATTCTCATCCCAGTGATTGCCTTAGACAAACAAACCCACACAAACGTGCATAAGCTCTTTTGGGGTGTGGAACAGCTTTGTGTGTGCTGCTTCGTCCTTAGAATTGATTGTCATGCATGTCAGGACAAAGGCCCACACCCACCTCTGTACAAGATATGCACCGGAGTAGATTCTGAAAGCTGAGCTTTCTGCATCCTAATTTGCTCTGCTGGATTAGAAGGCAGCCCAGCCTGGTTGTTGGCATGGTTGAAATAAAGCAAGTGATCCCTTGCTGTACAACCCACTAGTCCAGCTTGCGCAGAGGGAACAGATCCACAGGTTGGAATTGTGTGACCCTGGCTGCAGTTGGCTTGTAATTTTCAGGAAGATGTAATTTTCAGGGGATGTTTTCTGCTTGTGCTCGACATGGAGTTTCTCAGCCTAGTGGCAGCTGCCACATAAAAGCAGTGAGTGCTGTCACCTGCTATAGGAGTGCTGGAGTTCAGGTGTGTTTGGTGCAGCTTTATCCATGGAAGGTGGGGCAGTGCGTCCTCAGGGGTGTGCCTCATGCCACATGAATTGCTCTTAATGTCTTCTTATTTCCACACCCAGCTATGAGGATCTTGATGCACTGGATGGGGGAGATGATGGAATGAGAGTCATCAAAACAATTTTGGCTTTGACTCCTCCTCTTCTGAAGGATTCTGGGTAAGCACTGTTCTCTGAATTTCATGTCTTTTGTCCATTCACTTCTACAACTTCTGTGTTCTTTTCAAACAGGAAGGTACGGGGAAAAGAGTTGCAGAAATGTCCCTCCTGCCCCATTTAATAATGTCAGTTTTAAAAATGTCATCTATATAAGCAAAATTAGTTTGAATTTGGTTAATAAAGAGAGCCTTCCTTGACCAGTGGTGGCGTTTCATAATCATTAGTGAAGCAGGAATCTTTAAAGGTCAAAACAGCAACAAAAGAACATGAAAGAGAGCAGCAGAGAAAGAGGGTGTGCAAAACAACGAAAGCTTTCAAAGCAGAATAACTGATTGGAAGAGAAGCAGTATAGAACTCTGTGAGAATGGATGTAGATCTGTACTTCCCTCCCACCCCTTAATTAGGGGAAACTTGTTTATTGTGCCAGGATACAATGCTGAATATCCAGGAGAAAGAAGATCAGCCAGGGATAGTTTCTTAAATGTTAGATTTCTCCATGGCTAACACTCAAGACTGATTGTTCCTGTTCTCTGTCATGTGGGATCCATTTTGTGCTTAAAGATCAACATGCTGATACTGAAAAGTCTGTTGTGCCAGGGCATTCACATATCAATTCCTGACATGTTACCAGCATAAGAGAGGTCACTGAAAATCTGCTCTTTTGAGAAGAGGAACAGGAATATTGAGAGGCATACTGCATGCAAGAGAATTAA